ATTTATGTAAAGAAGAAAACACATTTTTTTTTTTTTTACCAATTTTATAAAAATTCAAACACAAGTATGCAGGCTTATGTGAGTTTTCTTTTTAAATGTGGAAACAATTCAGAAAGTATCCTATTATGAAGTAACAAATCATAAAATTATTTCAGTTTGTTGGATACATAACTGAATTTAAAAATAAAAATAAATACTTCCATTTACTTTGACTTTGTTTTTTTATTTTTTATTTTAATTGTTATCAAGTTAACTCACCATATTTATTCTCAGCAACTTGCCTTAAAGGTATTCCCCCAAAACATTTGGTGGATTTGAGAAAAAGATCACATCGTAAGACAGGAAGTGAGCTAAAAGAAGTGGCTAAACTAGCATGATGTAGTCAACAGGTTTTACTCCTTGTGTTAGTACCATCATTCACACATTGACAAAAGAAATGACTGCAAAACTAGCCATTTCTTGTTGTTGGTACAACAATTAATAGATTCAATTTTATGTTAGTATCTTAGAGTCACTGCAGAGGGACCAAAGAGCTGCATGTGACTCCAGAGCCGCAGGTTGCAGACCCCTGGTCTATAAGATATTCCATCTGAAAACCAGACGGTAAAGACGGGTTAGGCTATAATAGGATGTTACAAATTGTCTGTCATTTAATCCTACACTTTAATGGCAATTCTAACAACAACTTAATGTGTGATCCAAAACTGCGTTATTAGCAATCCCTCCTGGGTGTTTCCAATTGCCAAATTATTTAAAATGTTTTAGAGTTGGTGGATGGCACAAAGTTTTTTCAGTGTTTAACCAAGATGGGATACATCCACTCAGTGCCGGCCCAAATCTTCATGGGGCCTTAAGCAAAATTTGGTTTGTGGCCCTCTATTTCTGCTAATAATGTGGATTACTGCAATCAACAGTCAGATGATCAGATTATCCATCCACCTAACATAAACTCATTGCAATTCTGACAGCCCTGTTTACATGATCCTATATGTATACATCATCTAATGGTACTAATAGTAACAAAAAAAAACACCGGTATGCAGGGTGTTTTACAGCAAAAGTGTTATCTGGTTTAATATCTTTGGGGTCAAAGAACTGCAACAGTAATGTTCTAAATAATTTGTAATGCAAGATCAACAAAAAACAACAGATAGAATAACTTAGATGCATACATATACATTAATTTGTGCAACAAAAAAAAAGACAAAATAAAATAAAATAAAAAGATCAAGAAAATACTTAATGTAAATGAGCAATTACTAGTTGAAACCACGTAAAATGGTAAAAAAAAAAAAATTAAAGTTAAATACTTAGTTCTTAAAACTATGTAGGGGTGTGCAATAATTTGCAGAAGTTGAACTTAAAATATTAAATAGAATAATATAAAAATCATTCCTTAAAAAAAAAAAAAAAAAAAAATATATATATATATATATATATGGGCGCTTTCAATAGCTGCCCACTGCACCACCTGGTGGTGGATGGGTTAAATGCAGAGACTAATTTCGCCATTGTATGGAAACATACAGTGCTGACATTGTGATGACATTATTATTATTATTATTATATATATATATATACTGTATATATATTCCACTTAGGGCGCCCCCTAGTGGCCGCAGGGCCCTACGCAGCCGCTAAATTTGCTTATGCCTGCATCCATCGTAATTATGTGACCGCATCCAAACATTTCTTAATTGTGCCACAGTATAATAAAGTTTAAAATCTGAGAGTTATTTACTCATATCTTACACTTCTGTTGCTTAAACTCTGACATGCAAGGCTGCGGGAGATATCCATTTCTTTTCAGAATTCCATGCCCTTATTTTTTTCTTTAGCCTTCATTCAAATTGAATTAAACAGTGTTAAAAAAATAAATAATAATAAATAAATAAAAAGTACATTTAGTTCAGAAGTTCAACTTTTCTTTGAGCTTCTAATTAGTCAGCAAATGAAGGTTCGGTCTTATAAAAACTGTTTTTTCACTGTTGACATATTGAGAGAAAGCCTTTCAACAAATGTAAAACAAGCTCACCTGTGATAAGAATAGTCTCATCTAAATGGAAACAACAGCAGAGGAAGTCAGCCAGTTAGTTCTGCATCTCCTGACCTTGCAGTATTTTATTATTCATTGCATTCTGAGACAAAATAGTCAAAGTTTTCATTCGACTCAGATGGTTTTATCACACGTTCATATTTGCAATTTCATCCTCAGACAGGAAAGGCATGCTGTCATTCACACAGAAACTGAAGCTCTTATTGAAGCGGCAGAAAACATCAGCAACACCGCTCTCTTTTAACGCCAACACAAACTGCAGAGACGCTGCAGCGTGAGGTAAAATTCAGCTCCTGAAATTTTTCATGCATCATACTTTAAACCAAACTTTATGTGGCAAAAGATTTAGCCAAAAACAGTTTAATTTTTTTTCTCTCTCAATTGTTCTTGCAGTATTTGATTAATTTCAGTGGACAAATGTGATTCCTGTAAAGCAACAACACAAAAAACTTTGCACACAGAGGAGCAACAGTGCTGGAAAGGAAGGAGAGTTGCTCTATTTTCAGATTCTGTGTTCTTGTGGCGTCCCAGGAGAGAGGCCCGCTGTGGGCTCCCCTCCTCTGTAGCAGCACAACCGAGAAACCTGCAAGCTGCAGAAGATGTCAGTCATGCAGACAAGTAAACATGGGGATTTGCATTTTGGGGGCCTTGCAGATGCACAAGATTCAGTATGCATTTATAAATAAATTCAAACAGCAAAAATGTACTGTGGTAGCAATATTTGGGAATGCGCTGTGCTTTTAGTCTCACTTGACACCCACTTTTATTCCCAGAAAACAGAGTGACTTCTGCTGACTTTTGCTGAGGGTATTTTAGAAAAATAAATAAATAAAGAAGAAGAATTGGTCAGATTTCTCCAATCTAGGCTTTTTTTTTTTCCTGTTGCTGTGACAACAGCAAGGACAAGAGAAGGCAACCTTGGACACCAGACAGCTTTGTGACAATTCAGCACTGGATTTCTCAAAAATTCTGCATTCTTTATACAATATGACACATCTCTGCAATTACCAAGAATCTGAAATATGTGCAAACACACTTACTGGTTTCATTGTTTAAATGAGAATTGTCACAACCTTCATAGCCATTGAAAGGCTATTTAATAAAGAAAGGTCCTGGAAGTCTAAAGAAGTTTAGGACTAGGAAAACTAATTTATTGTTTTTTGCAGAGATGGTAACCCAAAGTTTAGAACATGAAAAGTATGATCAGAGTTGCAGCCAGGGCAATGAAGATTTCATATCATAACAAACAAACAAACAAAGAAAAACATCACTAATGTCAATTTACATCAGGAAGCATCATAATTATACTTGTACAAAGTAGAAGGTCACTTTTACATTCCATCCACCCATCCATCCATCTATCCATCCATCCATCTATCCATCCATTATCTTTACCCGCTTCTTCCTTTTCGGGATGCAGGAGTCATTGGTGCCCATGTCCAGCAATCACTGTGCGATAGGCGGAGTACACCCTGGACCGGTCTCCAGTCCATCACAGGGAAGAGACAAATGAGACAAACAATCATTCACTCTCTCACTCACACCTAGGGACAATTTAGAGTTACCAATCAGCCTAACATGCATGTTTTTGGTCTGAGGGAGGAAACCGGAATACCCGGAGAAAACCCACGCAGCACGGAGAGAACATGCCATCTCCACCCAGTAAGGTTCCCGGCCGGGAATTGAATCAGAGCAACCTTCTCACTGAGAGGCGACAGCTCTGCCAACTGATCCACCGTGCTGCCCCACTTTTAAATTATTGGACTGAATATTTTTGTTTCACATTTTCTTTTTTGTTTTAACTTTAAATGAATGACACAAATTCTAAAATTTCCATTGTTATTCTGAACACCAGTAATTCACGGGGAACTGAACCTGTAATCTGCTTTTTAAAAGATCAAATCTCACAAACAAACAAACAAATAAGAAGTCATCAGCAAAACTATATTTGGACAATATTTTTAATTTGTGATTTGGAACATGAATTGATCATTTTAATTACCCGTAAGTGAAAAATTAAATTAATAAATTAAGTAAATTAATTTGCAATATGCCTTGTAAGCATCATAATAACATAAGTTGATATAAAAACAGATTTGTGATTGAAACTGACAGAAGATGGAGGTTGTTGCACTGCTTTTTTCCACCTCCACACACCCAACCACACATGCACACACACGTCTTGCACACATGTTTGATCTGGCAAAAGATAAAGTCTAAAAAAATTCAACCAGGAAAAACTGCCGGTGTTCTTGATAACACTCTACTTAGTACATCCTCTGGCTAAAGAACAGTGGACGAGTTGTTGTGTTTAGTGTGACATCTTGTGGTTGAATCAAACATTTCAGTAGCCTGAAAGACCATGGCTTCTGGCACAGAAAATAGGCCAAGCAGTTAGAGCTAATTTGATTTAATGTTTTAGGTTAAAGAAAATAAAAATAATGATTAAATAAAACTGCACTTAAACACTTTGTGAATGCAACATTTTTAAAAATGTATTATTCTTATGATTTATTTAACCTTTCACTTTTGAAAGCCAGGCCAGCTAAACAGCATTTACGGAAACATTTAGGAGTAGGGCTACATGATAACAAAATAAATAAATGAAATGTAATGAATGAATGAATGAATGTAATCTATTTGATTTTCAGAAGAAAAAAAAACCTGTACAATCAAAATACAGATTGTAAAAAAAAGCAACTAAACTAGATTTTTCCCAACAAAACAACAAATTTTCAAGTTTTATTTGACCCATAAATTTGAGAAAAACGTGGGAGTTAAATCTACAAAAACAGGACGAGTAAACATTCAACTACAGAATAACAAATTCCTAAAAACATAGACGGAAACAAAATGTGAAGAATATTATAAAACAGATGGAAACAACCCAGAACATCAAAAGCGTTCAACTAATGACGTAGTGTGTAAAACTCCCAGAGTGCTGTGCGAGCTGCGCTGGCACCTCCTGGTATTTGTAGTTTTTTTTTAATCTAGTTCGCTTCCGTGTAGCTTTACGGTGGAGGAATCTAGTCGGCAAAGGCTAACACATGTGAAATTATTAATCAGGTATGGTAAACAGCTTCTTCTGCTTACTCAACAGGCTCAACTGTTATCGAGCTTGTCGCCCACACCTTAAATGTTGCATTTCGTCTGTTTTTGAATGTATTTCCTCCCCAGTATTAGCTGTCGCAGCGGTGGAAAATCAGCGCCTACATTTCCTTTTGTTCGGCTAGCTAATAATGTGCAGAAATACTGTACAGGACTGTAAACGTTTCAGAGAAATGTTTCCTAGTTTATAGAAAATAGCAACTGAAACCATCCTTAAGCGTTAGTTGTTCAATTTGTTTGTGCTTAGATTACTGCGATTTATGTTGGGCGACAACTGACGCAGTTTTGTTGAGCAGAACTAGTTAAACATTTATTAGCAATAGTTATCTTATATGTAGCATGTAGTTTTCACATAACGAAGCTTGTTTACATCCGGTTATGGGTTTGTTGACGTCTATAAAAGTCTACAGCTGATTTGAAAGTGACCCACTGAATGACATACAAGACTTCATCATAAATCCAAACAAGATCAAAAGCAAAAACAACTGGACGTTTTGTTTGTAACTGAAGACGTTTCGCTTCTCATCCGAGGAACTTTCTCCATTCAAAGATCAGAGTGAAACAGCTTCTTCACAGACGCATGGCTCAACACAGGAGAGCCAGCTCTTCAGGAAGATACTGCTGTTCTCCTACACCTCAAGGATAAGGGACACTCATTTGAGGATCAAAATGTGCACATTTTGGACCGAGAAGACAGATGGTTGAAATTTAGAGGGGGGTGAAGGAAGCCATTTATGTAAAACGAGAGAAACCATCTTTAAACAGAGGAGGAGGTCTCAGATTTGAATTTTCTAAAACTTATAATGCAGTTTTAGGCCTGCATGATAGCCAGTCATTTTCACTTTCCATTCATGTCATCAGAGTGGTTCCTCTGTATCACATGCTATTGTGAGGATTGATAGGGCAAACTACATATGTATCAAGCTTAGTTCAGCTTTATAACTCGAACCCCACACTTTTTTTTTTTTTGAGAAAGCTCCGATGAGAAGCGAAACATCTTCATTTACAAATAAAGTCCAGTTGTTTTTGCTTTTAATCTGGTTTGGATTCACCATGCATGTCCTGGATGACTGAGAATCTTCATCAGCGACTTTATCAAAACTTTGAATGTGTTTATTGTATTCACTGATTACATTTGTTTCCCATAGGTTTATGTGAATTTATGGAAACATGTCAAAGAAACGGGGCAGGTAAGTTTAAGTCTGGTAAATTTTTCCAAACTTCTTTGTCCCTGTGCGCAAAATGTCATCTTAAATCTGACAGCACCTAAATTATGGCAGGGCAGATGAGTCAGAAGTATCTGTCTATATAAACTGATTGGCCAACCACTTTTAGATAAGATCACAGTAGTAGGAGATTGCAGCCCATGCAGTTACCTCCCCCATTAGGTACATTTGCTTGTCAACATGAAGGGAATCAGCCAATCACATGGCAACATCTCAATATCTTTAGGTATATAGGCATGAAAACAAAGCATCAGAATGGGTGAAAAGAGGATTTGAGTGTGTGGCATGGTTGTTGGAGCCAAATGGGCTGGTTTAAGTATTTCAGTAATTGCTGATATACTGGGATTTTTACACATCTTGTGTATAAACATCCCAGGTTTTGGGGTTTAAAGAGAATGGTCCAGAAAAGAGAAGATATCCATCATTTGTGTGAAATCTTGTCAGAGTTCAGATTGTAATGGATAGAATGGTTGCAGATGACAAAAAAGCAACAGTAGCTCAACTAGCACTCATTCCAACCAAGATCTGCAGAACACAATCTGAATATCTATATATATATATATATATATATATATATATAGGCGCATCATAAAGAGGAAGGTGCGACAAAGAAGGCCCAAGACGATTGAACAGTTAGAGGCCTGTATTAGACATGAATGGGAGAGCATTCCTATTTCTAAACTTGAGAAACTGGTCTCCTCTGTCCCCAGACGTCTGTTGAGTGTTGTAAGAAGAAGGGGGGATGCCACACAGTGGTAAAAATGGACTTGTCCCAACTTTTTTGGGATTTGTTGACGCCATGAAATTTGGAAACAACAGATTTTTCCCTTAAAATGATACGTTCTCTCAGATTAAACTTTTGATCTGTGATTTGTGTTCTATTCTGAATAAAATATTAGATGTTGGCACCTCCACATCATTGCATTCAGTTTTTATTCACAATTTGTTTAGTGTCCCAACTTTTTTGGAATCCAGTTTGTATAAAGTTTAAAATATTTTTTTTCTTATTTAAACATTTTCCCCTAAAAATATAAAAAATGTATATTTTATAGGCAAAATTATTTATGATCATGCAGACATTTTCTCTCCACGTCCTTATAAAAAAAGGTCCTTTAATTCATCAGGAGGGACAGTGGGTCTTGTTTTGTCTGTTTTCAGTGTGTTTAAAACAACAAAATAAATTTCTACAACATTCTTTTTTGCATCAACTCACACCTCCTGTGTGTTGTAGTCAGACACTCCTCCACATCCCCTCACTCGAGTTTCCAGCTGCGCGTGTGTTTCTAGCAGGAAATCTCCAGCTGTGAAGTATTTCTTATAATAGTAGATATATAACGTCTGAAGAAAGTAGTCATCTCTTGAATCTTTCTGTCTTTCATGTGTAAAAATTCCTTCAGGCAAGTGTGTGGCAACAGTCCAGCCTAATAATTTGCTTTTTCTTCTTAAATGCTGCTCTTTAGTTTACCGTGATGTTAGATGGTGTTTTAAATTTATGTTAGTGTCTCTTCTGTTTATGTCACATTTACAGACTGTGTTTCCTCACTTTAATATCAAAAACATGTTTAAATCATAATTGCTGTCAGTATATGAGAAGAAAAAGAATGGAAAGAAGTGTTTTATTTTTGACATTGAAAGCTTTTGGGGATTTTGCTTGTGACATTTTTTTTGTTGTTCATTTTTTGGTGGAGACAGAAACTGCCAATTCCTTTCTTTAAGGCTCATAAACAAGTTCTCTCTACCTCTGCTGTCATCCTTAAATATATATATATTTATATTATAGGAAGCGTAGCAGTGGGGAGCTGAGTGAAAGTTCAGCGTCGACCCTCAGCCCGGACCCTGACAATCTTTTAGGCCGCAGGATTCAGCACACCTGGAGGGAGAAGGGGAACGTAACCAAGTGGAAAGGCACCGTTCTGGAGCGCCTAATTGTCAACAACTCTCTCTACATGGTCAAATATGATGGCTTTGATTGTGTCTACGGCATCGAGCTCTTCAAAGATAACCGGGTGTCCAACTTGCAGGTTTTAACGGAAAAAGTTGGTGAGCATGACAGCATCAGTCTCTTAATTATGTCATTTTTAGATTTTTAACCCTGAAGGATTACTTCCAAGCCTCACTTTGGACAGTGTGTCATCCTACACTTCAGGCTGAAATTCAATAGTTTTATGTGCCACTTTGTAGGATTTCCTGTTGAGTTGATGCATTTTTACAATGAAGTAATTATTAGAACTAAAACTGATTATTTTTCTCCTGCCCCGTGTCAGCTGTTGTTGCTGATAGACACATGATTTATTTCTCCGACAGTAAACAATAAGATCAAGGTGCCTCCTGGTGCGGAGGAGCTTGTGGGCCGAGCAGTAGAGCATCTGTTTGAAAAGGAGGATGGCGAGAAAAATGAATGGCGAGGCATGGTGCTGTCCCGAGCTCCCATCATGACCCACTGGTATTACATCACCTACGAGAAGGACCCTGTTCTGTATATGTACCAGCTGTGGGACGACTATAAGGACGGAGACCTGCGCGTCCTGCCTGAGTCAGGTACAGTAATGAGAGCTTCAGTATCTCTCTCTATGCAGAAAGCTGTCCCTGTTTAACATTTCAGATGCTTCCAGAGAAGTGGGAGGGAAAAATAAGACATTTACATAGACTGCATCGGAGCTTGCTTCATTGTTTCTGCCTCAGTGTTCTACTCTTAAAACATTTTGTGTACAAATTGTGTGCAGTTCAACAATAATTTAGTATGTTTTAATGAGTCACTAAGAGACTGTGGTAAAAACAAAAAAACAACAACTGCATTTTAATTACACTGGACTTGTTTTTTTCTTGTGTTCTTGCAGAGAACAAACATCTGCTGCCAGCAGACAGGAAACCAGGTGAGGAGCCAGAGAGCCTTGTGGGTAAGCAGGTGGAGTACGTCACAGATAACGGCCTGAAGAGGACAGGATTAGTCATCTATCAGGTCCCCGCGAAGCCCACTGTATATTACATAAAATACGACGACGATGTTCACATCCATGTCTACGATCTGGTGAAGACCACCTAATACTGACTGTCTGGTTTCAGCTGATGGCTCGTACTCGTTCCAACCAGTGTTAAAAACGTTTATTTTTCTTCAGTGGGAGGAGATATGCCCATCATTGAGAGGTCAATTTTATCATTACAAAACATCAATTTCTGATATTTACTTTTAAGTGTAATTTAATAAATGACCACTAAGTCCTTTTTAATGTAAATAAAACAGGTCTGTGGCCAGTTGTGTAGCACTACAGATGCAATGGAGCTAGGCATGTGCTTTTGTTCACTTATATAGTGCAACTGTCAAACTAAAAACAAAAAACTGTAACGCATCAAACCAAAAAACAGAGTTTTCTCATCATTACATCTGTGCTTTGCTTTAATTCCATTTCACATATTTATTTCATCAGGTATATATCGGTGTGCTGCTGGTAACAAAACAAGAACTGGTCTGCTGTGCTTTTTTTTTTACGTCCCCTCTGTTAAATATTGAACTAATGTTCATTTAACTTGTGAGCTCCTTTCCTTAAAACAATGAACTTCACTTCTTGTTGGAGTCCAGCAACATTCATGAGATCATATACGTATTATGAATTAAAAACAAACAAATGTATCACCTCTGTCCTGCTCCATCAAGTAAACAGTAGATTTTTACATCAAGATCATGTATAAGAAATACTGTTCGTATGAGATGTTTTAAAGTGTTTGTGCTGCACATATGTAGTTGAAAATGGTTTCCAACATTGTGTGGTAATTTCAAACTGACATCTTTATTTGCCAAAAAAAACAACAACTAGGCATTGTTCAATGTGACTAAATGTTTTTCTCTGTAAATATAAAACATTTTTATAAACAAAGCGCAGTTGTTTGGAAATTATTTTCACATCTGATGGATTATTTCATTTACATGTTTTATTACATGTAAGGCATATAATATATTGTTTATGGTAAACGCGTCGCTAATTCAGAGTGGTTATGAAAATCTTTTAAAATTACTCGTTTTCTTCCAGCTGCGCTAAAAAGGTTGAAGTGCTGAGTTAATAAATAAAAAAAAAAAGTTTCTAGCTGCTTTTGATTGCTGATCTTCAGTTTTGTCTTTACGTTTAAAAAAGTGATGTATAACATCCGTATGAAAAAAGTTATTTGAGTTCAGACTTAACAATGTAATCTTTATTTTTTTAGTTTTATTTTTCTCGGTTGACAAACTACTAGATCTTTAGAATTGACTGAAAGCTTCAAAACTGGGATTATTGAGGAATGTTGCTTCATTTCAGAGTTAATTAGTTCAAAGTGACTTTTTTTCTTCTTTTTTTAAAAAAAACATGTTTTATTCAGATTTTTGTCTTTAGTCCCCAAATTCTATTTAGTTTCATATAATTTTACAGTCATAGAAAAGTAAAAAGTGGCAAATAAAGATTTTAATGGTAATGATTGTGTTTGCTTCTGACATTATAAATCATTACCGTGTCAGAGCAGCTGTTGTAATTTTGTTTTTTATATTTTGGCTGGTGCTTGCATGTTTCTCTTTATTTTGCCTTTTGAGCTCTGTTGGTTTGGGAGCTGTAATGACAAAAAAAAAACGGTCCATTAGAGGTTTTATATTTTTACAGTTAACAGCTTGGCAGTAATTCTCAATAAATCATAGGATTTTGTTTAAATGTTTGAAGATGTACTGTCCTGAGGTGATATTTAGATGAGCCTTTCTATAAATGGTAGATGCCTAAATGTTTCCAAATAAGGCTGCAATTTTCTCGCAACATTTTCAGTTGTAGGTTTTAAATATAAATAGTGAACACAATAACAAAAATAAAAAATAGTGTGACTGTCTAGGAATATAAACAAAGAAGGTCCCTAAACAAGAATAGCCACAATCTAACAAAAGAAAAGCTTTAATAAACAATAATGTTTACTTAATCCCCAATGGAGGAATTCATTCTCTGCCTTTTTCCTGTCACTCGTGAGCACATGAGCAGAGGACTGCCACCTATGGCACCTGGGGAGCAGCTGGAAGGTAAAGAGCCTTGCTCAAGGGCACACAGTGGTGCAAATAAGGGTGGAAGCATTTTAACCCTCTAGTCATCCCCAGGCCAAAACAACTCAAGGGCATCAGAAGGGCCAAATAGTGTTATCACCTCCAAGTCCCTATATCAAAGCTCCTCAGGCATAAAGCTCTTGTCTCTTGTGCATATGTTTTTTATTAATTGCTGTGATAATTATGCATACACAGAAAAAGCACTCTTATTTCACGTGACAAACTCAGATTACAGCACTTCGTATGATTATGCATATAGTTTATGCTTACAACACCCCTCCTGTAATGAAATAAGCACACAGACAGGCACATGGCCCTTCCCCTCAGTGTCCACATCTCTTCCTGGCCAACTTTGTTATCTCCAGGATGCTCTCCTCCCATTGGCTGAAACCGACAGCTCCCAGGATTTACAGCTCCGTTCCTCCCAGGCCTGCTGCAGCTGTGTGAGGCTCTGATAACAGGTCCGATTAACACGGGTCGACTCCACTGGGTCCATCTTGGAGTGGGGGTCAGGGTCTGGTATGGTCCGGCTTCATGGCCAGGAGCATGTTGAGCTGGGACTAACCTTTGACATCACGTGTTCTCTAGAATGGCCGGTTCCGACCTAATAATGTGACTCGCTGAAGGCTCACGTTTTTTTTTAAATCTTCATCTGATGTTTGTATCACATTGTGGTCTACTATAAAAGTAGGAGTGTTCAAGTTTTCACCTCTGTCTGAACCTCTTAAAGCATTTTAATAGGTTTTTTAAAAAATAAGTCTGGCTCCTTTGAAACAGTATAAAGAAATTAGAGGTGGTTTAAAATTTAACACTTGACATGAGAAGCCAAATGTATTTCCAGTAGTTGCTTTTAACAGTTTTATCCACCCTGTACTCATGTAAACTTTGCTTTAAATTTTAAATACTTCTACTAATACTGCGAGCACTGTAGTAGCTCTTAGTGTAATTTGTTCTAAATCACAGTGATTCAGTGAAATGTTTTCATTGTCTTTTGATGAAAAGCATAATTACCATAATTAATTGCTCATCTGGAACAAAGAACTACCGTACTTTTTGCTGTATAAGTCGCACCTTTTTGCATAAATTAGCATGCCCTGCAATTTATACAGCGAAGCAACCCCCCCCCCCCCCCATATTTATAACCCAATTTTTGGCTGAGATCTGACGATTTCTTTCATTCTGACATGGAAAATATTGAACACTACTATTTTCAGCCACTAGAGGGCGCTCAAAATATATGGCAAGCCAAGTGTCTCATTAATAGGTAAAAGTGGCTATTATTGAGACATTTAGTTTGCCATACAAAGCCACCTTCGTCTCGCTCCAGAACTCCTGGAGCAAACGTCAAATCAGCTGCATTTTGCGGTGCTGCCCACACTAAATGCAGCTGATTTGACCATTAAAGTGCATTTACTAAGGAAAAGTTCAACTTACTATAATGTCGAGCAAACAAATAATTGTTTTTAGGTTGTTAACTTGGTAAATTTCAAAGAAATGCACAGCGTGTTCTCCCTTTGCGTGCTCCCGCAGCTGCAAATCAGCTTTTGAAATGCAGCTGATGTGACTATTAAAGTTAATTTATTAAGGAAAAGTTCAACTGAGACACAACTTTGCTATAATTTCGAGCAAACAAATAATTGTTTTTAAGTGTTAATCTTGTTAAATTCTTATTAAAGTCCTCCCTTGCATGCTCCCGCGGCTGCCATTTGGCAGCCAATTGATTTTTGGCACAACACTTGCCCACATTTCCGGATGGTCAGCGGTGACGCATAAAAGATGCGACTTATACAGCAAAGCGACATATTTATGTTTTTTTTCCACTTTATTAGACATATTTGGATTGATGCGACATACGGTGGTGCGACGTTTATGGCGGAAAGTACAATACTTGTGTTTTAAGAATGAAGGGTGGGATCATGGCAACCAAACAGTTTAACAGTTTAAGAAAACCAGAACCAATGTAGCATCTAGTTCACCTAATCCACAAAGCAACACATCTAAGGTGACCTTAAAACAGAAAAATGGTCAATTAAGTACAGAAAAAAGTGATTTACCCACTATGTAGCGTGTTTTAAATAGCACGTCATGAAAGCCACAGAACAACCGAAACGTAAGATGAGAAGCAGATCAGCCGCAGTACTAGTTTAAAAAAGTCAAGTGAATGCAGGAATAGATTTCCCCTCTGTTCTGCTGCTTCACTTTGGGCCCATATTATTCTGATTAGCTTCTGTTTTAAAGGCCAATGAAATCAGCAAATAGAGGTTATTAAGTCACACATGACCTACCTCTGGATCAGAACCATTAAAACATCCCTTTAAGGACCGAGATGATATTCATCTCATATAGTGATGGGCACTGTTCAAAATGAATATTATCTCTGTCCTTATTACACTCCAATATAATAGGTGTGACCCACAAAGTAAAAGGTCACATTAGTAGCAGTTATTCATCTTTTTACTCAATCCTGGTATAATAAATCAAAGGAAAAGTATTAAAGGTATAGTTCAGATCTTTTGAAGTGGGGTTCTGGAGGAGGTTATGAATGTTTTTCTTACCTGTTGTAGGTAGCTATACAAACAACATCAGTTTGGACAAATAAGATTTAAATTCTGACCAGATTGGTGAGCTAATGGCTAGTCTGAGCAAGGCTGAAATCAAAGTGGACCCCACTGAGATGAGTCGTTAACTCGTCAATCCCTCAGAGTTAAAAAACATTTGTTAAGACGTTGTTTTTTGGGGGGCCCAAAGTGCAGAGCAGGACATAGGTAAGTGAAATAAATGCTAGAAATTTATAATAAAAACAACGGGTGGTCAAGACAGCAAAAAGCTAAGTAAACCAGGCGCAAACCTGGCAACAAGCTACGACTGAAGGTGAATCAGGTTTACAAGTCTGCTGGGAGTGTTGATTACTGAGTGAGTGCAGGTGCGGCGAAAGAGCAGATGAAAAGATGTGAACAGGGTTTAATTTGATCCAGATCCTGCTGGAACAGGATCCAGGAGCTCGTATCTTGATGGTGTGTTCCGGTAACTGCTTGCTTGGATACGGTAACTCTCAGGCTAACTAATAATAAAGTTGCAAAACAAATATGACTGCCTTGAATTAATAAAATTTATATTGGATAAATGAAAATAATTACATAAACACTCATTTTAAACACAACAAACAGCCACTTACAAGCTTCTTAATATCACATACGAGCTGCCCCTTCAAGTAAGTATTTCTGCTTCTACCCTTAAAAAAAAATCTCTACCCCTAAAAGTCCAAAGTCGTTGCGCAATTTTATTAAAAAACTCAAAAATATAATTAAACGGCACAACTAAATTGTAAATCAGTTTGACAGTTTAAGTGGGTCATTAATACATTTTTTTTATTATTTATTAAAAATACAATGAGAGAAATCTTTGATGTGTATTATTCACATTACGTCACGTATCAAGACAACGGCACTAATTTGTCAAAATAACAGCGATCAAAATGTCGAAAAGACAGTCCAATTTGTACATTCTTTTTAAAAAGTATTCTCAATTTGGACAACTGAGAATTGAAGCAGCTTAAAGCAGTAGCAATTGAGATTGGAGAAGGAGCGAGCGAGTGATGGGGGGGAGGGGGGGGAATGAGGGCCGAGATAACCAGGCAGTCATACGCAAGCAGGAGCCCACAGGCAGCCGCCATGTACAGACGGAGGAGGTGCCTGGAGGTTTCACATGTGAAGTCGGACAACAACAAGCAGGACAGTGAATTCAGCGGAGAAGAGTCGGCTCAGAACCGTTAAGTAAGT